GTGCAGATGTTGCTTTTTCCACTACAATAAACCTAACCTCAGAAATCCAAAGTCTACGGTCTCGCCTCTGATCAGGGAAACATCTCACACACAGCAACTTACTGGAAATGAGAATTCACTCCCATTTCTCCTCCCTCAGACTCTCTCTGCTCCTGCACACCCACCACCACCCCAAACTTTAAGAAGAAAACTAAAGAGCAAACATTTTCCTGCATGCTTTTTCCCTCCACCCACATACTTGTTTCTTTTTTGACCCAACAAGCAGTTTTTATGATGTAAATCCTCGTTCTTCTTGTTGGGACAAATACCATATCAGAACCACAGCTACATCTATCCACATGAATATATCTCAGATAATAATGTTGAGGGTAAAAAAGCAAATTGCATGCATACTGATAGGATTTTGTTTACGTTTAAAAATCTGCAACACAATTATTTGCAATGATTTGGGGTACATGAATATGTAGTAAAAGCACAAAATCACTGAATTCATGAAAGTGATTAACTTGTGTTTTCTTTTTTGACCCAACAAGCAGTTTTTATGATGTAAATCCTCATTCTTCTTGTTGGGACAAATACCATATCAGAACCACAGCTACATCTATCCACATGAATATATCTCAGATCATAATGTTGAGGGTAAAAAAGCAAATTGCATGCATACTGATAGGATTTTGTTTACATTTAAAAATCTGCAACACAATTATTTGCAATGATTTTGGGTACATGAATATGTAGTAAAAGCACAAAATCACTGAATTCATGAAAGTGATTAACTTGTGGAGAGAGAGAAGAGAATGAGACTGGAAAGAGCTATCCAGGGGACACCAATTTTATCTGTAATGTTTTATTTCTTCAAAAAGTAAGTGAAAGAAATAAAGACATCCTGAAGCTGAGATAGGATAAACTAGAAATTCACTAAAGCTGGATTACTATTCTAATATTCTCTATTATAGATACGTTCAAAATGCTTCACAAGTCCTTTAAAATTCAAAAGTGAAGCATCATTTACTACTGTCAGCACTCATCCCCAATCTATTATTATGCTAATGATTCACATTTACCAAAAGGGTTGAAAGGAAAGTTACAGACACCAGTGATCAATGTAAGCGATGTGTCTCTGCCACATCTCTATTTAAGGGTGTCGGTCTGCCAGATTTCTTCAAAAGATGTCTAAGATGAGGACAAAGTGCTAGACGCTTTAGACCAATGAACTTTGACATGACTTTCATTGTAGTCTAAAGTGAGCAACTGCAGTTTATTAAACAATAAGAAGAAACTCAAAGGTCATGGAAGTCAGAGATGATGGCAATTGACCAAAAATACATCCTCTCACCATGTGCAGTAGGGAGCTTCCTGTGAGCAAATGAGAAGCATTGCAGGAGCAGATTCTGCAGGCAGAGCTGGGAAGGCAGCTTGACTGGGGACGTCAGAGCCAGCATTCATGACTGAATTGCATGCAGCAAGCCAGCCAGCTGCCAAGTTCTCAGTGCTATCAGAGCCTTCCCCTTGCTTGCCTCTCCCACCCCAAGGACACCCTGTTTAGTCCTCACTGTCAACTCCCACTTCAACGGATACAGTGACAGAAACAGTCAAAGAAAAATGAACAATGACTCCTTCTCCAGTGGAGTCAAGAATTAGGAAGAAAGGATATTAGCTAACAATATCCTTAGTGGTCCATATTAGCTAACAATAAGAAAAGCCCATAACTACTGAGGGGTTACCAAAAGCCAGACCCTGTGCTAAGTCCATGAGATGAATAATCCAATTGAACCCTCACGAAAGTTCCATGTGACAGGTGCTACCATTAGATTCACTTTACAGCCAGAAAAACAGAGGGTCAAATATACAAGACTAGCCCAAGGTCATAAAACTATTAAGTTGCTCCAGGAAGCAACTCATACTTTGCTCCATTTCTCTAGGATAAATAGGGGACTATAGAATGGGGATGTTTATATCAGCTGGCCTCATACCTACAACACCCATATCAACCTCCCTAGGGAAAAGCCCTGACAAGTATGGATAAAAATATGGGAAATGGCATGAAAAGCCTCATTATAAATAAACAGCAGGCTGACTCAGTGAAAAAGTGAATCCAGGGTGCCAACTAGTTATCAAGGGCAAAAAATAGGGGAAAGAATAAAATAATTGAATGACAGTGTCATACGAATTTTGAGAATGCCTTCTTCAATATTGGTTTCTTTGTTTTGAGCTGCAGAAATCTATTCTACATGAAATTTTGGCTGAAGGACGGGATGTCAAACAGAGGCAGAGGTGCTCCAGCTGAAACTGGGGGTCAGGGACAGCAGCAGAGCTCCCTGAGACACCTCCACACAGCCGTTTACACCCCCTGAATTTTATAGATGACTAAATGGAGGCCCAGAGAGAACATGATATGCTAGGGTC